GGAAACTGGAGTACCCAAAGGAAACCCAAGCAAGTACAGGGATAACATGTAAATTCCCTTTTCCAAAATACAATTCCATCCATAAGTGATCCTCAGGTGTCAAAATATATTAGAAACCTAAATTTTGCTATGAGGAAGGGATTCATGTTTGTCAATACAGGTAATGTATCTCAGGATCAGGAACAAATAGCCGTGCCTGAGATGACATTATGCAAGTTTACTGTTGACTCGTGGTTTATTGATTCATCTATAATCTTAACTTCCTCTTAGTTAAATGTCCATGTTCAATTACTAAATATTTTGATAACTTCACAATTTTGACATTGCACACTATTCAATCAAACCACTCGGTTCATTGCTACAAAACAAGCCTTCACACCCTTCAAGTTCTCTGCCCACTAAACATTGGGAACATGCCCACCTAATTGAGGAAGAACTGTTTTTGTTGTCTATAGCAACCAGTCTGTGTTTCCCTTTCATTCTCTTACAGTACACTAGAACATAAAAGCACATATACTTTACTCCCTGTTGTTGGCAACAAGTTACTTTCAATCATGGGTGTCTGGTATTTTTACTTAGTTACGTTTCAACACTCCAGTAATATATATCATGTAGGTTATTGAGTTCAGTAATATAAAACCCTTGTATAGTGCCTTCTTTATATTTTCAAAGGGGTTTCATATGGTGCTGTTAGAAAAGTGATGTCAGAAAGGCCACATTCCAATTGCTTTCAGTATTTTTGCATTTATTATTTAAGCTTACTGTAGCCAACCATTCACAGAGCTCAGTCCATCCGATGTTTAATAATGGGGAAGGTGATTGAAAAGACTTTTAAGGCAGAGATTTTTGCCTACATAATAGGAGAAGTATGTGATTTTTCTTGTCTCGTGTAGAAGCAGCTCTTTTCTCCTCTTTAGGTTTATATATTTTATACTTTGACCAGAAAAGCCATACAATGACTACCTCTAATGCTTAATAGTTTTATTACAAAATATAAACCCCATACTTATTTAAAGAAACTCTTTATAAGCCCAAAAACTTTTTTCCATTACTTCAATGATCAGACCTTCCCCTCTGCCAAAATGAAGATTGGCTGTAATTGTCTTATTTGGCCAAGCTACATTTGCCACCAGCCTCTAAGTTTTCCATGTACTCAAATAGAGAATCTGCCAAGGGCTCTTGGTATAGCTGTGTGCCCTTTGTCTTTCAGTTGAAGGGGAGTTCAGTGGAGGCAATTGAACTTCTGGACTCTAAGCACTCTAAGTGAAAATAATTGGCCACTGTAATTTGGAGAAAGTCGAAAGAAGGTGGTTAGCACACCATAATATCCCTAGCCTTGATGAGGTATTTTTCAAACAGGATATTTGAGGATATGCAAGCAAGCACCGGAATGACAGTATGGTCAAGGTTATGCATTGTCCAAATTTATAGATCAAGTAATCCCTTGGAATAATATCTTAGTGTTTCTAGGACCAAGCGGCAGTCCAGAAACATGCTGACCATCTTCTAGATGCTGCTGCATTACTTATCTGATAAGATCTGTATTCTTTGACTCCAAAATATGCACATTTCAGCGTATTAGTGACCTCACTGTATTACATTTGCAGTTTATTTGGATGTATTATGGCAGAAACAGTTAAAGCAGGCCACTCAATGTTTAGTGCAGCACTGAAATTTTTAATACATAAATGTGAACTTTGCAATCATTTTTATATGTATAATTTAAGTTTTCATGTGCTACATTCCACATAAAAAACCCAGAAGTGTGAAAAGGCCTACCAGACTACCTTAAATAGACTAAAGCTGACCATTAGAACTACCAGTAGAATTTACTTTGAAAAAAATTGTTTTCTGCACAGCAAATCGACAAAGCCTTTTCAACTTTAGTAACAAAAAGGTGCAGGATGGAAACATTTTCTCAAACTAAAGAAATTTTAACAGTGAATGTGGTTTTAATTCAAGAAACTAAATTTCCAAACGACACGCTACAAGTCTCTGATGACATTATCAACTGTTCTGACTAGACTTTTTGTATGGACGTTTGTATGAAAATCTACTAGAGTATGGCATCTAATCATTAGAAAACAAAAAATAAGTAGTGATCTACCATAGCATTAGCAGACCATCACATATCAGGTTTCAGTAGTATAATCAGACCAATTATTCTTGGTGGCAGATTACTATGGGGTGCAGCACAAGCCTTTTATTTGCACTATTATATAAGCCTCAAACTTAGGAGTTTTGAAGGCTAAGCCATATTATAGCCTTACTATAGGTTGTTTCTTTGCTGTGCATTCAAGCTACAAAGTAAAGGTATAAATCGTAATGAAAACAACTAAACACGTTAAAAGAAAAACAACATAAGTCTGTTTTTATTATTATTCTAATATTCTATTAAAAAAATGCTGTTGGTATGTAAATGTATATGCATATTAATGTGTCATACAAAGTCTCATGGAAACAATTAGTAAGTGCCTCATTATGAGTAAAATTGACTATGTTGTACATAAGTAAATGGTATGTGTTGGAGACAAATTTCTTCAGTAGGCATAAAAGCTACAGTACTTTTAGTAAAACAAAAGCAAGTGTACACAGGTGCTTTCTTGTCAAACCCTGACACCTCTGTTCTCTTACATCCAACACTTATTCCAAGTAGAGTAAATTCTAAACAGTGGATCTTCCAGAAGAGGTCAATAAACCAACCGTGAAGCTCCAAATATAGCACTGCACACAAAATGTGACCACATGTCTTCAAAGTACTTATTTTCATGGTATAGAGCAGAGTTGTACATCCTCTGCTTACATTAATGTTCAGGGTCTTCAAATGAACAGATGTGAAATTTATTTTGCTAGGTTATAAACTTAAAGTGCAACTGAAGCCAAAACCTTTGTTTCATTTTGGATAGAGTGGAGAGGGAACACAGCAGGTTGTCCTCGTAAGGGAGATTTTTAGCCTCTCTATTCCTAGTGATCGTTATCACTGAAAGTGAAAGAAAATCCCACATTTTGGGTTGTCATCAAAACAGGAATAGATGGGAAATCTTCCAATGGGGGCATATCGGACAGGAAGGGAAGGCAGATCTCCTGAGTGGAACACAGATGGCAATAAAGGCTGATAGGGGGTCAGCTGACAGCATAATCCTCCCTTACTCTGTCCAAAAATAAAAAGGTTTTGGTTTCAGTTCTATTTTAACCATGTGAACATTCACCTTGCTAAGCCTCTGCCCTTTTAGCAAATCAACCCTAGTTTTTGCCTCTTACACATATCCTACATATGAGAAATACATGCTTTATTTTTTCCATAACCGACAGCAGATAGGGATTTGTTGAACTAGTGTAAAAATAATATCCTTAATACTCACCAGTGTCACCACCAATGTTAAGTTCACTCAAGTACTTACTGTGTCACCACCAATGGTGTGTCCACTCAAGTACTTACTGTTCTACAAGCTGCAGTAGTTACTTGCGCAATTTGGCAGTAAAAGAAGGAGTTGTTTTGCCTGACATAAATGGGTGTTTCATTAATATACATTTCAAAAATAACTACGCACTAAAAGCACTGATGTTACTCTAAAGTGTGGGCATACCAGATATAATTATCTGTACTGTAATGTAAGCATCCCTCCTTCATTCAGTGAATGGTAACAATAATTTGTGGCAAAATAAATTATGACAATGCTCAATTATTTCCAAATAATCCAATATGAATAAAATCTGTTGATGTATTTAAAAAGTATGTTGTTGTTGTTGTTATTCATGTTAATAATCTAGCTATCAAAGTTTTTTTTCATTATTCTTCAATGCACCTCTGAATGATTGTCTTACTTCCTCTTTATAAGAAAGGGCGAGAAATCTGACACTAGAGAAGCGAAAACAAATGATACATAAATAGTATTACATAACAGGTTAATGTAAATACTTCACTTAGCAAGTAGAGAAACTATGAAATTGTAACAATGTATGTTATTATTTAACTTGTAATTTGTATGGTATTTAATTAAGAGTAACCCCACCCAATATGGATTTCCTCCTTTTCCGTAGGTTTCGGTTAGTGTCTATATTGCTGTTGGTGGAATCTATCTCCCACAACAGGACATGCTTGACTTTTCAGCACTTAAGTTAAACAACAACAAAGCTGAAATGCTGAGCGTGGCCTGCCACAGCCATGCTGTGGGGAAGGGAAGGGTTCGATAAAGCAATAAAGAGGCAGCTTATAACCCTGGCCCACTCCAGTATAAGGAGGAAAATCAATTTAGGGTGAAAATAATTTTTTAATAATGTATCTCACTGCATCACCCCGAGCAAGTGAAAACTCTAAAATGATTACCATACAGCTTTTTGTGGCATTAACTACAGTTGTTTTTGCTGTTGATGTTTTTTTCATTTTGACTACCAGTTTACACAACCTACAAACAAACAAACAAAAAAAAAAACATTGGGGTCGATTTACTAAAAGGTATAAAATGTATTAATTTTATGAAGTACCTTTAGCCCATATTTACTGTAAAAACACAGCCTTGTACAAACATACAATTTATAACCTTCAGTAAAGAATACACATAACCAAGATTCATTTATTATAGAGCAATAATAAATGATATATAAAATGATTTGGGCCATGTTGTCATGAGAACTTAAATTCATGAGATAACACCCAATCAATTCACTAGACACTACTGGCTGGAACAACATGGCTGCCTCTCCTGCATGCATGTAATTGGCATTCCCCAATAGCACTTGCTTTGCATTTGCTTCCTTTCCTCCAGCAAGGACTGAATCTGGCTCATTTGGAGGTATCTGTCATTTTGTACTAGTAACTCTACCCCATTGTTTGAAAACACTCATGATTAATAATAGCATATACATTAAATGATCACATCCTAATGCATATTTTGCTTTAACTAGCTAACGAGACAAGGACATAGGGAGAGATGGAAAAGCTGCTTTCACAGCTTGTATGGAGAACCTGTATAATACAATAAACCTTCTGCTTTAATCAGGAGAGAAGGGCCCCTCCTCCCGTGCCAAAGAAGCCATCGAAAGGTCAGGCCCCACTGGTCCGGGACAGATCTCTGGAAAGTACAGAGAGACAGCGGCACGAGGCGCGGAAGCGGCTGATGTCTGCAAAGCGTGCTGCATCTGTGCGGCAGAATTCAGCTACCGAAAGTGCGGACAGTATTGAGATCTACATCCCAGAGGCTCAAACCAGGCTATGAAGCCATCACAAGTGACACTGGGGGAATATTATATAACTATATATATATATATA